ACCAATACAGTTGAACCATTCATTTATTATACAGATGAGGGGATACAATAGGATCCTTCATTAGAACAAAGCGCAAAAAACTCGCGATCTCCCCCTTTTACATAACATGAAAATGATACACATATTTACATTAGAGCAATAATAGAACAATAATAATCTAAGTAAATCTATTAAAAACAATAGGGACAAAACTTTGGTGTCGGATAGATCAGGAGTATATAAGCTGACTTGTGGCTCTTGTCCAAAACTGTATATTGGCCAAACAGGAAGAACATTTTTCCAACGAATTAATGAACATAGGAGTAGTTTTGTAAATAGAAAGACAAAATTAGGTTGTTTCAATAGACTTGCCAGTTTTTATCAATTGTGTGCTCGGGATTCGATAAATTCGACGAAGGCCGTTATTGGCTAGTCGATTGGCGAGAGGTCTGGGGAGTATGGTGGGTGAGACAGAACTTCAACACTCGATTAGTTTTATTTTCGAACAGTAATTTGTGAAACGTGTGAATGAGCGTTGTCGTGGAGCTTGATCGGACCTCTTTTGTTGACCTGTGCCGGCTGCTACAGATGCAGTTTTTGGTACAATAGGACTCTGTTGTGATGGTTTGGTCTGGTTGCAGAAAGTTATAGTGAATCATACCAGTTGCTGACCACCATACAGTAACCATGTTCTTTTTCAAAGGGTCCGCCTTTGGGAAGTGTCTGGGTGGGTCATCGGTGTCCAACCACTGTCATGAACGTCTCCTGTTGTCCTAGAGTATCCACTTTTTATCACACGTGACGATTAGATTAAAAAAAGGGATAGTTTTGGTTGCGTAGAAGCAAAAAAAAAAGACCTCGAAACGTGACAATTTTTGTCATTCAAATCGTGGGACACCCACTTTGTGAGCTTTTTGACCTTTCCAATACGTTTCTTTCTCAAAGTGGGCGATAACGCCCCCTTGTGGGGGCCTATAGGGGGGACAGAAAAGGGAACAGAAGATTGAGGGGCGTTGAAGCGGTTTAGGGGGCGATGGCCAATTTAAAAATGTTTTTTTTGCTTTCAACACAAACTTTACCGCTTCTTTACGCTTAACGAGCGTTTCCTCGTGTCACGCCATCTAGGGGACTAGACAGTAACTATTTCCTGTCCCATAGTTGGCGGTAAGCTTCAATGCGAAGCGAGAAGTTTCTAGTCTCCATTCTCGAAAGTACTAGGCCCGCCCGCTGCCTCATATAAAAAGGCACGCACCATCTAGCCAGTAATGTCATTCGACAATATTACGAAAACAAGTGAATTTAGTTAGCGACTAGCTAGGTAAAGTGCTGTACGTGCGGTGATGAATAGTGTGAGTGGTGTCATTAGCAAGTTTTTAATACTCGATCTTCACTTCGGTATTTTTAAAGACAAAATTATGTCGGAAGCAAAAAAGAAGAAACGGCAGTATAGAGCGGAATGTATAAAATAGGGATTTATTGAAAATCACACAAATCCACCTTTGCCTATGTGCCTTCTTTGTCAAAAAACATTTTCGAATGAAGCGATGAAACCCTCAAGGTTACAAGATCATTTGAATAAAATACATTCAGATAAAAAAGACAAAAGTATGACTTATTTTCAAGAACTGCAAAAGAAACACTCAGCTCAGCCAACGGTGTCAAAAGTTTTTTCAGCTTCTTCTAAGCAAGACGACGACGGACTCCAAGCTTCCTACAATATTTCCTTGCTAATTGCTCAAACAGGTAAACCTCACACTATTGGAGAGTATTTAATTTTACCGACAATAAAAGAAGTAATAACTACTGTGATCCATGAACCAGCGGCAGATATTATCAAAAAAATTAAACCAAATGCAAACGATTGCTTTGACTGGATACCTTGTGAAGAAGCCATCGAGTATTCATATTGGACACCNAATTATTAAAATAATGCCTGCGATTGTGATTCTTAAGATTAAGTAAAGTAAAACAATTTGGGGGGCGACAGAAAATAATTAATTCTTGAAGTGGGAGGTAGACAAAATAAGTTTGAGAATCTCTGTTTTAAACCATTAAAAACCGCATGCTGACTCCCAGTTCTTCTGCCATCCCACGTACCGTTTGTGAACGGTCAGTCTCCACCAGGGTCCTCAAATCACATCCCATTAAAACAGAACTTTTGAAACAACCTAATAGAATCTATGACACCTAAACATCGATAAAACCAATAAAATTCAAGGCTATCAACTTCGTTCAAAGTTAATAACGTTTGTGAGTTTGAAATATTATTCCACTTATTTTACAATGCATTCGTGACTCTCGGTCTTCCAGTTTATTTTTGGCGCGATTCTCCGTCTTCCTGTTCATTTTTGAATCTCCAAGTGATGGAAAATTAGGCTCCATTTACCTATAGGACAGTGCTCTGGAGAAATCACATTCTAAAAGAAATTGTAGAGTAATATTCATCATACTTACCTTCAAACAAAGTAATGATGAAGAGCACCATAACAGCAAAACACTAGGTTAATGGTTTACTCTTGGAATTTTCACATTCACATAACAGATAAATCGGTTTTCAGTGATGACTGAAACAGTAAGAGTGGTGTGGAACTGCTTTATTGCAATACATATTCAACTATTCATCAAGTTATCGCTTGGCGAAGATCATGTCCAGTAGTGAAACAGACATTTGTGGGTGTTTTGAGTTACCTTATGCAAGAGATATTTGAATTATCAACATCTATATAAAAAACAGGATACCTCACAATGCCTGAGTGGAAAAACATGCCTTAGAGATTATAGTAGAAATGTAATCAGTGTTCAATAAGAGGGCAGTGGGCATTATCCGATATCAGTTAGACATAATCAGCTTGAGGGTTCAAGTTTTAATGACAATTTGCCTTTTGAATGTTCTTAAAAATTTGCAGATTGAAAACCAAAAGTTGAGAACCGTAGTGCCAATATAATGAAAGTAAATGTTCCAAAATATTCATTACCTACTACTTGATGATTTCCAACCATTGAAATATCATAAAATTTGCCGGATCTTTCGACATTATTGTTAAACGAATAGAAACAGTCGATGAACCATTTCCATAATGAAAATTATAAATGAAATTTCAAAATTTACAATTTGGAAAACAAACTAAAAAAGTCATTTATATTTGGGATGCAAAGTTTTCAAACTCCTTGATGACTTTATCCAAAAATCTCCAAATATTGATATTTTTAAATCTAGACTTAAAGTATTACTTATTGAAGAAAAACTGTTACAGTATTGTTTGAAGGTGGTTGACAATCTTTCGTGGTGTATTTCATCAGTTCGGACTTCCATTGTCTAATATAATATAAATTGATTTGAAATGGGGAATGTTCCTCAATTTGGGTTATTACAGCAAATGCAAGTTTGAACAAAATAAAGTTGAGTTTGATTCATGATTTTTTCAAATTCACTTCGAAAAGCATTCAAATTGATGTTTCAAATGTTGGGTTTTAATTTTTAAAGGGATTTGTTTCTAATTCACATATTGACAACAGTGCCTATATCAAGTTGAAATAATTTATACCTACCTAGATATTCTACTTTAAAAAAGGAAAATTAT